TAACATGGTATACATCAGAACTAACATAAAATAAGTTAGAACTAACATAAAATAAGTTAGAACTAACAAGGCATAGGTACGAACTAGAATGAACCAAGATAAGTATAATAAGGAACTTACATACAATAGTGTCATGCAACCTGGGACATATGTGACCCTTTGCTTCTTCTTTCCCTCCAAAGCAACTCAATTGCCCCTGATAATTTCATCATAAAATAACTTGGCCTATGCAACAGAATTGACCCTCTCAATGCTGTCCAGGTACCTGAGTAAGGGTCTAGGGATACCATCCCCGGCTCTGGGACTCCATATCATAGAGCATTGGTACAGGATTTGTAAGAGAACAGAATCCTGGATGTCCCGCTTTGCTGTAGATTCAACTAGCCATTCCAGTAGCCCTTCAAGGTATTTACGTTGGGTGGTTTCTGCTTTTTTAACTTCTTACCCTCTTCAGAAATAAAAATATTAGCGAAGTATTCCACCCATATTATGCTTCCTGAGTCCCGATTGTTACTTATGACTTCCCCATAAATTGGAAAATGAGTATGGTTATGGACTCATTACAAATCAAAACTAACATTTTTGAGGCACCCACTTTTTGAATCAGGTGGAGAAAATGTGTTATTATCTCTGTCAAAAAAGCTCAGCAGCAGCTCAAGTGTGGGCCGATCAGGCGCAGGAGCCCCAAATAAAATATAATGCTGAAATATAGAACCGCAGTATGCATCTCTATGCCACTGACGAATCTTTGGGGCAATGCGCTTCATAAATTCCCAATAGGCCCCGATATTGGCGGTTAACCTTAGGGATTCTCCTCCTACACCTGTTAGAGCAAAATTTCCCTGCAAATGGATTTCGAATTTATAAGTTCAATAAGACCTATGAACTCATATTAGACCTAACACTACGAGAACAAAATAGAGCTAACACGCATGTTCAATAGAACTAACATTGGACACAAACTAGAACTAACATTGGTCTCAAATTTAGAACTAACATTGGACTCAAATTAGAACTAACATTGGACTCCAACTAGAACTAAATTGGTCGCAAACTAGAACTAACAATATTGGGGTAAAACCTAGCCATTGCCGTTGCCGAATACTGAATAACATAACACTTACTGTTTTTTTGAGGGGGGTTTGTTCGTACGATCAGCCATTGACGTTCTCCTCCTTTTCTGGGCTCGACATTGTATTGCCTCCTTTTGCATTTCGATTAGGGTTTGCGTAGCTTCCTCCGCGCTACCAACCACCGATGAACCGTCTTTGTCCTTCGACTCGGCTCGACGAACGACCTCATAGTCGTTACTGGATCCTTCCCTGGACGAGCTGGACGACATATTTCCGGCGAAAACCCTAGAACTGTTGAAATTCGTAGAGCAATTAGGAAGATGAAGAGTTTTTTGAGGCTCCAAGGTGGAAGAGAGAGAAAGAGAGGGAGTGTACCTGAAAAGGAATGGGGCGCATTAACTACGCTCAGTCCCATCAGAGGAGCAAGACCGTAACTTCCGCTGGGCTTTTTCTGAAAAAAGACACTTCGGGGCCTCGTCACAAATACTATGCGTATTTGGGGCTTATACACATGGGGCAAAGTACAAGGGGTCTAGTCACACGAAGTTTTTATTTTTGGGGCCTGGACACATTTTTCCCTTTTTTTTAATTTCAAGAGGATCATAGAAGGAATCAAATTCATGTATTCGTTGGTAAAGACATCTATATTTTTTATCTAGTAATTTATTTGAAATAAAAATTCATAGTGAACTAGATATCAATGACATCAAAGCACTATTCGTTAGCACACTGAATATTAAGTTTTTTCCCTTAAAATTCTATAGCTAATATATTCCTCCTATTATTTGCATCAAGTAAAAGTAGTATTCCATTTATTTATTCTCCCCCACAAAATAAAATAGCCGAACTTTGCTGCTACTTCCCCACCAGTAGAGTCCTTAAAAAAAATACAAACTTCCTCAAAATACATGGCATAGCCTTTATGGATGTGGGTATTTATGTTGATAAGGATTCCACAATGTTCTCTAGCTAGTGCACGTTTAGCATTAGAGATAATTTATAATGTTTTCTGCTTTTTATTATGCTTCTTTTAATTCTTATTACTATACAACACTTTTGACATTTAGAAGGATTCCAATAAGCTTTAATAATTGGCATCCAGTTTTTTTTTGCAAAATTTTAATTTACCTTTCTTTTCCGATAATCATAAAAAGAGGTTATCAGAAAGAAAACTATGAGAAAATAAGAAACTCTAAAGGCCTGTCGTAAAGAGAATAAATGAACTCGAGAAAAGAGATTATGGTAGAGAGAGAAAAACTCCAGAAAAGAGAATTATAAAGTTTTGAATCACAAAGGCAACAATTAAAATTTTCAAAATTTCGCCAATCTTACCGTGAATAGTTAGAACAAAAGTTAATCTTTGACCTAAAATCATGAGATCAACTATACCATATGTTGTTGTGGTGGTTAATGATCTTAGTTGGGATCTAAAAAAAAGGACACTTGTCACATTGTCTCATGATTAGTCCCATAAATTACGAGTCTAAAAGAAGTACTCTTTCAAGAATAATTTTTGTTAGTGAATAGATGTTTTGATAAAATCTATACTCATTGCACTGGATCCAAGTGGCAAAATGATGTATCTATTAATTCAATCATAGCTAGTTTGAAGTTGCCCATTTTCAGAATGTTTAATCAAATGAGACAAAATTGTTGAAAGTAGTGGGAGCAATTAGTTATGTTAAAAAAAAAAGAAGAACGTGACCATTAACAAAAACTAATCAATCTAAGTCTTCTAGAAGTGGAAGGGAATATATCCATCTCCAATATTATATCTTTTGTCCTCTAAAAAGGAGACCCGTTGGTGGTAAGAAAAGCAAGACAGTGAACCATACAAAACTCAACAAAACCCTGGTTTTTAATAAGGTAGAACAGAGATATGAAAGCGAAGCGGATAAAAAACGGCGGGTGAAACCCGTCAAAAAGGGCACCCGTATTTTCGGGATCCAATAATGATTTGTCAACAAAACTATGGAATCTTAAGCGTCTTTGACCAAAATTCTTGTTTTTAAAACAAAAATGGGAGAAATTTGTCAGTTCAAGTTCAACGGACTTTAGTTGATGATGATTTATGACAATGACAATCGGGTCGGATCCTGTAAGAACTACAATTGGCGATTTGGGCCTCACGATCCTTAATAGGAGCGTCCAAGAGAATTCTCCCAATGACGCGTTGTGTAGACAAACGTCACATTTCATCCAAAAAGAAAAAAAGAAGAAAAAAAAGATTAGTAACAGCGTTTGGTTAAGAAAAGTTGCACGCTTATTGAAACCTCTTTTGTTTTTAGAGGGGTGTTTTCAGAAGCAATATTATGAAAAGCATCTTCTACTTTTTATAGTTTATATACACCGTATAGATCCTTTAGCTTTTGATAATATTTTTTTATTCCTATCAATAAACATGAAGCTAAAATAATGTACATTTTAGTCATTTTCACCTATGATGATCTTTAAGCACAATTTTACCGAGCACCTTGATTATTTTAAGAGGCAACTTTTTTTTATATATGTTTACCAAATAGCTATATGCAACAGTTTACATATGTTATTTTTGTAAGCTGCTTATATAAGTAACCTATTAGAAGCTCCAGCAATATCAAACTAGCCCTTACTCCATAAAGGAGCTGTCCAGAAAAGAATCCGTTTAAAACCAAGTTTTTACGTTAAAAAGCTAGGCCTAATACTTATATAAATTCCATTTTAGTCATTTTCACCTATGATGATTTTTAAGCACAATTTTACCGAACACCTTAATTATTTTAGGAAGCAGCTTTTGATATATGATTACTAAAAAGCTATTTTCAACATGTTATATATATTGTTTTTGTAAGCTGCACATATAAGTAACTTATTAGAAGCTCCAGCAACGCCAAACTAGCCCTTACTCCATAAAGGAGCGGTCTGGGAAAGAATCCGTTTAAAACCAAGTTTTTACGTTAAAAAGCTAGGCCTAATACTTATATAAATTCCATTTTAGTCATTTTCACCTATGATGATTTTTAAGCACAATTTTACCGAACACCTTAATTATTTTAGGAAGCAGCTTTTGATATATGATTACTAAAAAGCTATTTTCAACATGTTATATATATTGTTTTTGTAAGCTGCACATATAAGTAACTTATTAGAAGCTCCAGCAACGCCAAACTAGCCCTTACTCCATAAAGGAGCGGTCTGAGAAAGAATTTGTTTAAAACCAAGTTTTGGCGTTAAAAAAAAACTAGGCCTAATACTATATATAAGTTCCATTGATTTAGAATTGATGGTAAAATATGCATCATCATCTCTTCTCTTCCTGTATGATTTTCTGCTACCTGTTACCCTTGTGATGCACAAGACATAGTTTTACAAAGGCAAAGCTACCGCATGCATAAACGTGGCGATACTATAATTTGGCAAATATCTACTCAAAATCAACTCCCATCAAAGATTCTTTTCTTATTGGAAACATAAAAAACACGTAAGATATATAATAAATGAGTTAGGTGCAGATAATAACACAGAGTACCAATGGCAGCTATTTCGCAAGAGTACTCTATACAAGATTAATGCGTTTTGCTTCCCAAAACTTTGATCCAAACTAGAAATTCCTACGGAAAATCATTTCATTTTGAGTCTGATATTGTTTACCCGCGTGTTGTTATTTGGGGTCTTAACCTCCAATAATAATAAATTACACCAGAATAAAAAGCTTTAATTAAAATATTTTGGTCTCCATCAAACTCTTCCATTTTCTTCCCTCCTCGATCACCGGCCATGACTTGGAAAAATTATAGGTGGTTGAGAAGCGTAATAATTTTATTCTCACTCTTTGACTCCATATATAGCTTAAATATTTAAGTTTGACAATGAGCTCATAGACTGATCTCTTATAGGAGCGCATGACAAATGAATGGAGACCAAATTTTATTGTATTTGAACTCTCATTATCAAAACAAATGAAAATATTTGAACCTCTGAAAACAATAAATATGCCTGACAAAATTGAGTTAGTAAATTTCTAAATGCATCAACAAACAGTCATTAGCTACCGCAATACTTTTATACAGTAGCTTACCTATGACTTCCCACCAAAATCATCAAATTTCAGGAATCATATTCGCTGCATTATCTACATGAATGAAATGTGATCAAGATTTTCACACGCGGAGAAAATACGTTGATGCTTCAAGCAAAGCCGAGATTTTAGAAGAAACAGATGCCGAAAGAGACCTCCAACAACAATATTTGTAGCTATCAGGACTAAAAGGAAACAACTCAACCTGTAAGATTCTTGTGGCTTATGATTGAACTCCAATGCATCACAAGATGTAGATATAGACTGAAAACTTTCATGGCTACACCAGTACATGGACAATTCTCCATAGAATTTTCTCTGTGGACACCACTATCACTTGCTAATACTGTTAGTTCAACTTCCATGTGTGCATTTCCTTGTTCAACTTCCATGTGTGCATTTCCTTGTTCTTTATTTAGGGTGAATTTCGCAAGCCCTTGACTTTTCAGAGATTTTGCCAAAACCCCCCTGAACTTTATAAATCAAAGAAGCCTCCCTGAATCAAAATCACACCAAAACCCCGTGAAATATTGAAAAATCTCATAAACCAGGTTAACATGTACACTGAAAAGCCTGAAATTTTGACTTGGTTGTTGAATCGTATAGTCCAACACGAACGTTCTTCATTCAGAACTTTGAGCAGACAATTTGAATTATCATAATTAAAACTTACTACTCTAATTGTTAATATCATTTACCTGATATTTTTTTGGGAGTTTAATAGGATTCTGAAAATTCAGGAGGTTTTCTCTAATTTATGAAATTTGGGAAGTTTTGGTAAAACCTCCAAAGTTCAAAGGAGTGACAGCTACCCTTTTTTTTAAGTTAGTCTCATCGATGAGTCTCATCGATGATTAGGCTGATAGAGATGACATTGATAATGATAAGTACATGTCACTCTGTAGTAATCAACAGTGACATACATATCAAAGTCAAAAGGATAATAGAAATTTGTTAAGAAAAATCTTAGAAAATCTGAGCTCATAACACAGTTGGCCAGATGTAATAGAATCTAGAGTGATGTGGGCATATTTTCTAAGATCAACTTAATTTTATGATGTTTCCAAAAGTTAAGAATCAAAAGGAAGTTGTGTGTACGCACCTGAAATCACGGACAAAAGTGTGGTTGTGCCATGGTGCCAACCTTGTACCAATTTTCCTATCATCTTCTCCATCCCTATACTCAACCTCTGCGAAGGGTCAAAATTATGGTCATACAGAATTATAAAGATGCCAGCATTCAGTAACTGTAACTCTAAGAACGTGATATCAGTGTCAATTTATATATTCTCTTAGCAAAAGTAACATAAGTAATAAGACAAGGTTTTGGTTAAGCTGTGGAAAAGAAAGGAAGTTTACCCGGTGACCTTTAGTCAACACGTAATTACTCATTATAGGATTTATATGACAGAGGATCGCGATCGTCCGATGGCATTGAAGTTGACACGATGGCTAATAAGATCTCGAATTGAATACTCCTACGGTTGCATCAAGAATATTTTACCATAAACTACAAAAGTAGCATGAAAATGAGGTCTGGATCTTTAAGTTATACACATTGGTGTGAAAAATCTCAAACAAACAAGATACGCAATTGAATATGTAGCGGGATATGCAAATGAATAAACAGTAAACGAGCTTAATACAGAATAATAGACGTCTCAGCATTCAGAACTCGTCACGCAACTGCCGATAAGTAAACACGAGATAAGCAACATATATAATGAAAGTTCCATGACAGAATTTCGATATCAACAACCACGATTGATAATGTTGAAGTCAAACTGTTCATCATGCAATTAGATAGTGAAATATTATGATACGTGTCACCACCATTCACAAAGCCAAGCACCGTGGAAAGTGCAAACGTGGATAAGTGGGTGGACTTTGTCTAGTTTAGTTAGTTTGTTTGTTCAGTTTACTAAGCCCATGAAGTGTGGAGAAATCAGGAAAAGAATCAGAAAAACCAGAAAAACTGGCATAAGTCGACTCATGCACAAGGCCATTGTGTACCGGTCTTATAAAAAGGCTATCTTTTTATTTCATTGTAACGATTGAAGTTGTAATGAATGTTGCAATGAATACAGCAACTTTTTCCGCAAACACCTACTTGTGCAATAAAACAAAGATTACAACTTTTCTGAAAATAAACACAAGATCCCGTTTTGGTACGGTCTTGTTTGCGTGGGTCTTTAGCCTGTGACGGGGACGTCAATATCCGTGGACCACCGGTAGATCAGATCCGTTCCGAGAAAATCGGGCAGAGCTTCGTCTATCCGCGAAGGGATATAGAAGCAGAACTTCGTCGATCTGTGTGAGATCTAGAAGTTTACAGCTCCTATCTCGGATAATCGAGATATTCGCTCTACTTAGTATCACCGCTAAGGGGCAACACTAAGGAAAAGAGAAGGGGTGAATGAAGAAGAAGACTCCTTTGCTGTAGACGGCTCGCTCACTCCTCGCTCCGGCAGGGCTTCGCCTAGGCTCTCTTAAATTTCAGATCTCAAGGCAGAAGCTCAAGACCTGAAATTAACCAACACCAAAAGCCACAAAAATCAGGAGCCCCTTGAAATGAAGGCCTAAGGGGCCTATTTATAGGAAACCAAGAGGGGGGGTGGTAAAAGGTGAGGAAAGGTGAGGACACCCCCTTGGGGTGGTAAAAGGTGTGTAGGGGCTGAGGACACCCCCTTGGGGTGGTAAAAGGTGTGTAGGGGCTGAGGACACCCCCTTGGGGTGGTAAAAGGCGTGTAGGGGCTGAGGACACCCCCTTGGGGTGGTAAAAGGTGTGTAGGGGCTGAGGACACCCCCTTGGGGTGGTAAAAGGTGTGTAGGGGCTGAGGACACCCCCTTGGGGTGGTAAAAGGTGTGTAGGGGCTGAGGACACCCCCTTGGGGTGGTAAAAGGTGTGTAGGGGCTGAGGACACCCCCTTGGGGTGGTAAAAGGCGTGTAGGGGCTGAGGACACCCCCTTGGGGTGGTAAAAGGCGTGTAGGGGCTGAGGACACCCCCTTGGGGTGGTAAAAGGTGTGTAGGGGCTGAGGACACCCCCTTGGGGTGGTAAAAGGTATGTAGGGGCTGAGGACACCCCCTTGGGGTGGTAAAAGGTGTGTAGGGGCTGAGGACACCCCCTTGGGGTGGTAAAAGGCGTGTAGGGGCTGAGGACACCCCCTTGGGGTGGTAAAAGGCGTGTAGGGGCTGAGGACACCCCCTTGGGGTGGTAAAAGGTATGTAGGGGCTGAGGACACCCCCTTGGGGTGGTAAAAGGTGTGTAGGGGCTGAGACTGGCGTTGACCTAGGGTTACGCGTTGATCGGCGTCCACCCTAGGATTTTGATTCGTCAAAGGTTGACTTTTGGTGCAACCCGTTGACTAGGGTTGACCTTGGGTTACGCGTTGACAGGCGTTCACCCTAGGGTTTTGGATCGTCATACGTTGACTTTTGTCGCAACGCGTTGACTGGCGTTGACCTAGGGTTTCGCGTTGACCGGCGTGGACCCTTAGGGTTTCGAATCGTCGAAAGTTGACTTTTGTCGCAACGCGTTGACTGGCGTTGACCTAGGGTTACGCGTTGACCGGCGTTGACCCTTAGGGTTTCGAATCGTCAAACGTTGATTGGTGTAGATTTTCATCCTCAAACGTTGACTTTGGCGCAACCCGTTGACTGGCGTTGACCTAGGGTTACGCGTTGACCGGCGTTGACCCTTAGGGTTTCGAATCGTCAAACGTTGATTGGTGTGGATTTTCATCCTCGAACGTTGACTTTGGCGCAACCCGTTGACTGGGGTTGACCTAGGGTTACGCGTTGACCGGCGTTGACCCTTAGGGTTTCAAATCGCCCAATGTTGACTTTGGTTGCAACGCGTTGACTGGTGTTGACCTAGGGTTACGCGTTGACCGGCGTTAACCCTTATGGTTTCGAATCGTCAAACGTTGACTTTTGTCGCAACGCGTTGACTGGCGTTGACCTAGGGTTACGCGTTGACCGGCGTCCACCCTAGGATTTTGATTCGTCAAAGGTTGACTTTTGGTGCAACCCGTTGACTAGGGTTGACCTTGGGTTACGCGTTGACCGGCGTTCACCCTAGGGTTTTGATTCGTCAATGGTTGACTTTTGGAGTTCATCAATATTCAACCCTTGGCGAAGAATCAGAGTGTTTTGGGGTTCAGAGAACAATTTAGGGGGTCCAAAGAAGGTTCGGGGGGTCAAAACAGATTCAAGACGCCCCGGGGGTGTCCGGACAAAACCGGGACACCCTGGGGTGTCTCGGTTTTGCCGAGACACCCCATGGGGGTGTCTTGGTTCGTGCGCCGTGGTCCCCCCCCTTTGTTTGGCCTTTTCTTCTCTTGTCTTTTGCTCATGGTCCCCCCCTCTCTTTAATTCAAATTTCAAAAGAAGAGAACCTCCCCCTCTTTGGCTCCAAAACCGAATTCTCTCCCCCCATTTCGGTTTTGTGCATTCTTCTTCCCCAAGCTTCTTTCCTCCATTGATTTGTTCTTAAGGATCCATCAACCCTTCAAGAGGAGCTCGGATTTTGGGTGTCTCCTATTGGTCAAACACTTGCTCCTCCAAGTAGGGTTCCCTCCTTCATCTTCAAGCTCAAAGAAAACTCTTTTGATTTGGTAAGCTCTTCTTTACAATCTTCTTATTTTCTTGTAAAGATTGCATCTTTATTCTTGTAGTAGACTAGGGGGCGTGTATGCACTATTACTTCGGGGGGTTTTGTGCAAAAAGGGGTAATGGCCGAAACTTTGGGGGGCTTATTTGCAAAAGGGGACTGAGATTTCGTGGGGGTCTTTTTTGCAAAAGTGGAACTGAAATTTTGGGTATTGGGTTTATGTCCACTTGGTGAAGGGATGTGGGGGTGCTTTATGCAATAGGATCAAGGAGTTTTTTGAGGGGTTTATTTGCAAAACAGTCCCTAAACGTTTCGGAGGGGCTTATTTGCAAAAAGGGCTGTGAAATTGAGGCTGAAATCCAAGGGGTCTAAACCTCAAGCCCCTGATCAAATTTTGATGAATGCATGTGGAGACCAAAATGCAAAATTTGTAGGGGGGCTTTTATGCAAGATTAGCTAAATCCTGCAAAAGGGTTTATTTGCAAAATTTAACCAAGATGGTGGGGTACCGGGGTGCTATATGATCGGATGTGGGGATCACGACCCCGATCACGCGTGTCCTTGACCTGAATTTGGCCTTGGGCACGGGGGGTATTTTGGGTATTTCACCAAAATTCACCCCTAAAAAGACAATCATTGTTTCGCATGCATGAAATTTGTAGGTTTAACTAGACTTCAAATATGAAATCCTATTTATGCATAGGACTTTAATTAAAGTTC